ACATAGAGGAGCTCCATAAATGTTTTTTGAATGAACAAATAATCGTGTGAATTTACAAATTCACGAACCTATGGAACCGCAGACCAGTCTGCCCTGACCTCCCATCCCACATCTCTTGGTTGAGGAACTCAATGCTCCATCATCTGTCAGAACTGGAACACTCCTCACGATTTCAAGGACCTTCTAAACATAAAACCAGCTGGTCCACGGGTCATTTCTTCTTCCGAATGTACCTGCCATTGAGATAAAGAACAAATAAAGCTTTAACTTATGTTTACAATACTCTTTTTTGCAGGAAGGCAAATATGATTATATAGGATTTAAATGAAATAAACTTATAGCAAGGAGAACAAATGAGTTTATTTGTGACTCTTGGGTAAATAAGGTTAATATAACTGCAGTAAAAAAAAAAAAAAAGAACAGTGGCTTAATCAAGCTAGAAGCTTTTTACTCTGTCATGTAAAAGTCCACATGGAGGTCCTGCCCCATGAAATTCTCACCTCATGGCACCATTTTTCCCTAGGATATGGCTCATGATTCAAGATGGGCTCCAGCTGTCATGTTCACCCCCATGCAGCAGAATGGAGGAAGGGGGGTGAGGGGACAAATGACCAACACCAACTCTTTCTTAAGCCAAGTTTCCTGGAAACTGCCATGGGGCACTTCAGCTTACATCCCACTGGCCCAAACTTAGTCCTATGACCACACATTATTATACAAGAAGTTGGGGGAAGTTAAGGAGCCCTGTGTAGTGTACTGAATTAGGAGAGGGAACATTATAACTAAGTCACTAAGACCTGTTAACTTTTCCCTAACTCCTTTTTATTTTCAGCAACCACTTGTCCAGCTAAAAACTATTTTACTGTGGCACAAAAGGAGTATCGATGTGAGGGATACAATTAAAAGTCTATCACAGATACTAAAACGGAAGTGTTAGTGATTATTCAAGAACCTCTGCATTCTAGCCCGACCGGGCGTGGCTCAGCGGTTGAGCATGGACCTAGGATCCAGGCGATCGGGGTTCGATTCCCGGTCAGGGCACGTGCCTGGGTTGCGGGCTCAATGAATGACTCTCTCATCATTGATGTTTCTGTCTCTCTCTCTCCCCCCCCTTTTCCCTCTCTGAAATCAATAAAGGTATGTTTTTTAAAAAAAAAAAAACTTTTGCATTCTAATTTTTGTAGGCTGAGGTGACAATGATGAGTTCTAATTGTTTATCCGCTGTATTACACTCACGCTTGGTACTGCTCTGGTGGTCCATATCTAGAAGGTGGGAGGAGTGAAGTAGAAAGTAAAAAAAGCTTTTGCAACAAGGAAGTTGGGATGGGGGTGATGCAGTGAGAAAAGGAATGGAAGAGGGAAGGCAGAGTGGAAAGAGGTGGTAGAATCGACAGACGAGGTGATTGGATATTGGAGGAANAAAAAAAAAACAAAAAACTTTTGCATTCTAATTTTTGTAGGCTGAGGTGACAATGATGAGTTCTAATTGTTTATCCGCTGTATTACACTCACGCTTGGTACTGCTCTGGTGGTCCATATCTAGAAGGTGGGAGGAGTGAAGTAGAAAGTAAAAAAAGCTTTTGCAACAAGGAAGTTGGGATGGGGGTGATGCAGTGAGAAAAGGAATGGAAGAGGGAAGGCAGAGTGGAAAGAGGTGGTAGAATCGACAGACGAGGTGATTGGATATTGGAGGAAAGGGAGAGGGAGGATCTTTTTTTTTAATTTTTTTTTTAACCGTCATCTGAGGATATTTTTTGATTGCTTTTCAGAGAGAATGGAAGGGGGGGAGAGAGAGAGACATCGATGTGAGAGAGACACATCAATTGATTGCCCTCTTCATGAGCCCCAACCAGGGCCAGGATCGAGCCTGCAACCAAGGTTTGTGTCCTTGGCCAGAATCGAACCGGGATCCTTCAGTCTGGGGGCTGAGGCTCTAACCACTGAGAAAACCCCAGTAGGGTGAGAGGGAGGATCCAGAATCATTCTCAGCTTTGAAAGCAAATTAGACCCTGGTAATTGGACTAAAAAGGGTGGTTTGGAGACTACATTAGGTTGGTGTGGAGTTAACTACTGCAAATTGACCTGAAATTTCTCCTTCACCTATTATTTCTTGCCATGAATTTTCTCTTGAGTGGACTAATGAAGTTAATAAACTTATCTAAGTAGTTAATCTTTCACAGGAAAAAGTTAACAGGTCTTAGTGACTTAGTTATAATGTTCCCTCTCCTAATTCAGTACACTACACAGGACTCCTTAAAATTGAGCTCTTGAGGCATTATTAATTCAATGTCAGAATTTCTCACTTGAGTAAGCTGACTATTTGGAGAATCTATTCCCCCAACTGGAAAGTAGAATTGCTTATTGCTCTCTTTATAGTTGTGAAGTTTAAAATACATTGAATGTTTAAAGGACCTGACCTCATGACCAGTTCAGTAAATGTTAGTTTCTATCGCCTTCCAAAGTGCTTTTTTTTTAAATGCATTCATACAAACATTTATTTAGCAGTTACTATTTCACATACTGTGCTAAGTACTGGAGAGAAAAGTTGAATTTAGCCATTGAAAACAAAGTTTAAGTATTTTTTCTCACTTCCAGATGTTGGGGTAAAGTGTGATCCTCTACACCAGTGTGCTGCCCCCTGGACTAGGATTTCCTGAGGGCAGGGAACGGGCGTGTGTTTGTTACCTTATATTCCCAGGACTTAGCACATGTACTTATTAAATGTATGACCAAAGTCCAAGGAATGAAGCCAAAAAATCTAAAAGCACGACTGGAGTTAGAGAACCAGGACTGTTACGGATGTTCAGACATTACTGGAGGCCCTTCCGTGAATGCTGAGTATCTGCTGTGGTGTTCCTTCCATGGGGGCTCAGTATCTTCTTCTAGAATGGCTGTTGGAGGAAGTATGGATCTTAAGAGGCAAAGAGCAACATATGGCAATGGTTAAGAGCTTGGACTCTGGAATCAGACATTTATGCATATAATTATAACAAAATGTGATGAATCTTTCAAGAAAGGAATTCCAAGATGTAAAGGACTATATAACAGGTAGACCTACCTGGGCTGAGGGTTCAGGGAAGGCCTTCTTGAAGAGTCCTATAAGTTGCTTACTGCACAACTGAGGTGTTGGCATAGGTGGAAATCCAACCTGTGTTCCACTCCCCAGGCAGCAGGTTCACATTGGCCCAAGACTGTGCCTGCCCCAGAGGAGTTCTTTTCTCCATTTACACAAAGGCCCCACAACTCACCATGCCTTCCCCACCTGCTACCCATCAGTCATGCCATCCAAAAGCTGAAAGATAAGCAGATGTTTTCCAGACAAAGTTTAGGCCAGAGGGACAAACAGGGGGAGCAACATGTATGAGGTCTGGGGGATTTAAAAGAAGTCTGGTGTACTTGAGGCTCTGAAGAAAATTCACTATGGCTGGAGTGTGGAGTTCAACGGGAAGACTAGCAAGAGTGAAGCTGGGAGGTGCTCATTACAGTTGCCATTTTCTGTGAGTTTACTAGTTATGGTGTGCTAATGGATCTCCATGCATTATTTTATTGAGATCACAGAGGTTAAGTGACTTGCCCAAAGTCGAGTTAGGAAATAGTGGAACTGTGATTCAAAGCCAGGTTTAACTCCAGAGCCTGTACTCCAAACCACTTGTTCCGTGGCTACCAAAGATTTGCAACAGTGGATTGCAAAGGAGTAAGCCTGGAGGAGGGAAGGCTGGTTGGGAAATAGTTGCAGAAATCCAAGTAAGAAATGTTGGTGGACTTAACATGGCCTTGGAAATGGGAAGGAGTGGATGGATTCCAGAGAGATTTAGGAAGTGGAATCTACAAGACTTGGTGCTTGTTTGAATATGAAGGACAATGATGGGAAGAGGGAGGAAGCAAGGATGACTTCTCATTTTGTGTCTTTGTGGATGGCACGTCATTTGTTGAGAGAGACAATGGTAGAGGGACAAGTTTGGGAGGAAGGTGGGTTTAGAGCCTGTCAAGTTGGAAGCACCTGTGGGACGTTCAAGGGCAGATGCCCAGCTGATGGTTGTATACTTGGGCCTGAAACTCAGGAGAGGCTGTATAGTTAGCTGACATCAACATGTAATTGTTAATTGACCCACAGACTGGATGACACAGAGTGTAGAATGAGAAGAGCAGAGAGCTCCTACTAGGAGAGCCATGCGAAGGCACCCAGCTGTCGACCTTTGTAGAACACATCCAGACCCTTGTTTTATCTGCATCTTTTTCAAGAACTATTCTTCAAAGGTTTATGGAGTGTCATATTATAAATTGTAACCAGAGACCTGTGATGAGGCACAAAAAAAGGTGGCCCTCATAATAAATAAAGAATAACTGGCCTTGCCCTAGCCTGTTTGGCTCAGTGATTAGAGCATCAGCCCAGGGACTGAAGAGTCCCTGGTTCAATTCTGGTCAAGGGCACATACCTTGGTTGCAGGCTCGATCCCCTGCCCATTCCAGGGGATGTGTCTCTCTCACATCGATGTTCCTCTCTCTTTCTCTGAAACAAGCAATGGACAAAATATCCTTGGGTGAAGATAAAAAAAATAACTGGCCTTTTCTGACATTTTTGTTTGATTTAAAATCAGATGTAAACTTAAATATGACTCATTCTATATTTTCTATAAGAACATATGTGCTGAATAAAGTATCATTAATAATATCATTATTATACAGGGAATTGCCAATTCTATGCATTATTTACGCAGAAGAATAAATGGATTAAAATCCAGCGGCAACATCAGCAGAGGCCTTAGCTTATCAATGGCCTTTTTAAAATGTGGCCCTCACATTCCTTCTCCCACATGAGCAATTAAAGTTTTCTGTATCTTACATGAACTGCTATGAAAATGAGACTCTGAGCCATGCCTTCCCCACCCGCTACCCTTCAGCTTCTCTACATAGAAATTCTGAGCCACCTCTGTTGCAGTCACCATAACACGATGGCATTTAGGCTTAGCTGAATTCAGTTCGTCTCTCTTTTCTTTCAGAAAGGATCACAGACGGTCTCTACATGATGTGGCTTCCAAAGGCTCCAGGGCCATCCACCTCACTAGTCTGCAATGGAGAAAGCAGAAATGGAAATTCAAACGCCACGACTTCCATTCTGTTATTAATCGCTCTGTAGACATGTGTCCCCACTGCAGGGAGTGAACTGCGCCAAGGGGGAAAGTTCTTGGAGTCTCCAAACCTCCAGCACTTCTCGTCTCTCTTCCTGGAGTAGAAGCAGAACTATGGCGCTTTATAGCTGCTGCTTAATCCTCTTGGCATTTACCTGGTGCACTTCTGCCTATGGGCCCGACCAGCGAGCCCAGAAGAAAGGGGACATTATCCTTGGGGGGCTCTTTCCTATTCATTTTGGAGTAGCAGCCAAAGATCAAGATTTAAAGTCAAGGCCAGAGTCTGTGGAATGTATCAGGTAAGAGAAGAAACCAAGTCAAAGAGTCTCTTCTCTTCTGGGGGGCTGGAGAAAAGCTGTACCAAACCCAAAACAATTTTTTCAAACTCGGGTCTCTCTTTTCAAAAACAGTGATTGGTATTCATGCTGAAACTTATTATACCCCTTACCTCGAATTTTTTAAAGAAATTTTTTCAAAAGTAAAATGTCGATGATACTGAGTAGAAAAATCTATAGTCTGTTGGAATATATGCCTGGTCACTTGGGAACCAAGCCATCATTGAACATTCACCTGGCAGCAGCGTTGCTTAATGCAAGACTAAGTACCTAGATGGAAATTTATTGTAGGTCTAGCAAACCTGAGTAGTAGTATCTCCAATTGACCTTAAGTGCCCCAATGGTCAGTAATAGCTTAGTGTTGCCTGTGTCACTCCTATTTTCTTAAAGACTTTTAGAGTAGAAGAAAACCTCAGTGGTTGGCATGACCCAGGCATCTTCAAAATGAAGCCCATAGCATTTTGGGACCACTCCCATTAGAAAGTCTTTCTCAGAGAAAGCTAAAATTCCCCTGCTAACACAGATGGAGAAGCACAGAATCCACCTAATTTGACTGGACTCTTTTCAGCCATGTGAATTCAGCTCATATATCTCTCTGAATCATTTCTTTTCCAGGCCAAATAGTCTCAGTTTTCTAAATAGTTACTTTGTGACATGCTTTCCAGACCCTTCACCATTGTGATTGTCTTCCATCTGATGCTCCCTAATTTATTATGGCTCTTTTAGGATATGGCACCTAAAACGAGGCACGATTCCCTCAAATAGGATTTGCAGAGTACAGTGGGCTGTGTATCATTTTCTTTCATCTGGACAGCAGAGACCATTACTGCACCCCAAATCTTGACCCATCTTCTATGAGAATAATACATTCTTTCTGAGAATTGCAACTTCCAAAAGTGATCCTTGGTCTTCCTAGTAGCTGGGAAATGAAAATGAAAACTAGTATTATTCCAACAAAACTGGATTTCTGTTTATGTTCTAATAAGAGCTCACAAATTCGATAACATTTTCACATTTTTCTTATGAAAGCAGAAAAACTAAATGCAGAATTTCACTGACCTGATTCTGTCCTTCACATAACCCATGTGGACAGATATCCCTTTGCTGTACCTTGCTGGACAGAGTTGTGCATGTGCCACATGCATACCTAAGGGCAAGCGAGAAGCTTGACCTTAAATAATATATATTTTTATTATATTAAACAAGAGCAAAATTAGCTTAGCAGTATAAATGTTTTATGTAGCCAAAAATTCTATAATATCTCTTCATAACTTTGCAGGTTTTAAACAAATAATTAAGTAACAGAACCATAAAATGATTACAAGAAAACATCACATTAAAAGTTAGATCGGGACCTTTAGCACCCTAAACAATACAGTGGGATAGAACAGATTGTATTTCTCACTTCCTGTCATTGAGTTCAAGTAGGACAACCCACGGTGTAAAGAGACAACCTGCAGAGTTGTTGGGGGCACTGACACACTGATTCAGCACATTTATCAAGCCCTCACTCTGAGCCAAGTCTTTGGAGAGTAAAACTATGTCACTGACCCTATTTCTCTGTGTTAATTTGCTTGATTTTTATTTAAAACAATGCCGTTTGAAAAGCAACCCATGCTCTTTTTTTTTTTTTTAAATAGGAAGTATAAATAAACCAAAAGCACACAATTTAAAAACTCATATTCCACCACCCAGAAATAACCACTGTTCGTGAACAGCCTTCTTATGCATAGTATTTGCTTGTTTGTTTGTTTACAAAGATGAGCTCACTCATTTCCCTTTTCCATTTGACTTCCAGGGCTGTCATGGTCTGAATTTGTGACTTTGCAAATTTGAGGTTATCCTTGGGCTCCCACATACTAAAATCCTGATCTATTTTTCCCCCCTACTCCTTTTTCTTTTTAAATATCTTTATTACTACTGTACCTCAAATTCTTTGCTGGATGAGTCAGGTATAGATTATTCATTCTGTTACCAATAACAGTCTTCATTCTTATTGCTCCCTGTGAGAGCCATGCCGAGAACCCTATGGGGTAGGTGTTATCCCCACGTACAGAGAGGCCCTGAGTCTCAAAGAACACGACCTCCTGAAACCAAAGAGTGACAGAGCCATGATTCCAGCCCAGCTTTGCCCAGTCCTTACTCTAAAGAAGGTGACCAGAAAGCCTTCCGTTTTCTTCCATTTCTTCTTTCTTCCAGGTATAATTTCCGGGGCTTTCGCTGGTTACAAGCTATGATATTTGCCGTGGAGGAAATAAACAGCAGCCCGGCCCTTCTTCCCAACATGACGCTGGGATACAGGATATTCGACACTTGCAACACTGTTTCTAAAGCCTTGGAGGCCACTCTGAGTTTTGTGGCCCAGAACAAGATTGATTCTTTGAACCTTGATGAGTTCTGCAACTGCTCGCAGCACATCCCCTCTACCATTGCAGTGGTGGGGGCCACTGGCTCCGGCATCTCCACGGCGGTGGCAAACCTGCTGGGGCTCTTCTACATTCCCCAGGTACCCAGGCCTTCGTAGGTGGGCAGTGTGGGACGGGGTCAGGACAGCCAGGCTTGGGGGACTGCCATGCCCAGTGTCCAAACAGTTTGCTCTTTTCCTATCTCTGGCTTTACATGGGCACAAAAGACCTTTTAATTAGTTGGGACACTGGATCAAGACCATTTGGTATTTCTGAGTCCCCCAATGTTAAACATCAACTAGAGCTTCACAACTCTTCCAAAATTCATTTAAATATACCTTATATAAAACTTTTTATATGCCTTTTATTTATTTTTATACCTTGATTAAAACCCCCCCCCCCCCCAAAGTATTCAGTTCTTTATTTTCCACTCCATTCCTTTGGTAAATGACCTTTCTTCTGCCTTGACTAAAAGGAATGAGGCCATATGCTGTAAACCCAGCATTTCAAACCCCAAATATGCCCCTAACCCTGTGCCCTTAAACAGCTCAGCCTCTCAACCATCTGGTTGAAAATTTAGCCCAGAGGGAAACAAAGCATATTTGCTCACAAAACAGGAAAATTTACTTGCTATGTTGCGCATCCTAGAGATGGAAAATATTCTATTTCATTCAACAACTATTTATAGAGTGTGTATGAAGAAGCACCTCCACCCTGCAGGAAGTCAGCCTAGGTGGGGAGATGTCTGCATTTCCAGGGAATTGCACATTGACTGAAACAAGTGCTTTGATAAACATTTGTTCAAAGATGCATACTTTTTCACCAAAAATAAAAATAAAGAGACAGCAAACTCTAAATGCCATTTTATAACCTTAACGCTATAGATTTTTACCCCTTAACGCTATAGAGCAGACCTTTTTTCATGCAAATATTTCTGCATCTATGACATCACTTTATAATAGTGAAAAATTGGAAACAACCTAAATGTCCATGGATGGGAGAATCAGCTCAATTATGATACATTCCTTATTATATCAATTTTTAAATTAAATTATGAGTCACATTTAAGAAATCAAATTTCAGTTTTTTGTGGGCTTCTTTGCTGTCTAATATTTAAAATTTATAAAGTACCCTTGATAAATGCACATCTCTACATTGTGAGGTCTTTGTTTGCTGAGCGATAGCCATTATCCCTTTATATACACGTGATAACTGAGAAAGTCTCATCATCATTTCCCAAATCCTTACTTCAGGGAATTAAAGGTGTTTCCCATGGGGAAGCCCTGGCTCTGTAACTTCTGTGCTAAAATGATCTAACAAAGCCCACACCAGTTAATGTGGTGGGCAAGATGCAAATATGCGTCTTGTCAATCTCACATATGGGGCAGAATTATTTTCAATACACAGTTAAAGTAGGTTGTCGTTATCCCATGGCCAACAGGTATAAGATGTAATTGTCATCAAGAAAGAAAATGAAGGGAAAGGTTTTGATTTTTTTGTGGTTTGAATGAAAGATAAGGTTAAATTGAATTTGAATTTTAATAGTGCTGAAAAGACTGTAAAGATTATCAGTCAAACCAATGTAAGTGTGTCTACAGCAGTGGTTCTCCGCCGTGGCTGAATATTGGAATTGCTTAGGGAGAGTTAAAACTACCAATGCCTGGGTCTTATTCCCCAGAGATCCTGGTTTCATTGATATGAGATGCAGCTTGGGTGTTGGGAGTTTGGAAAGCTTCCGAGGCAATTCTAATGTGCAGAGTGAACCACTGCTCTGCAGGGTGAGGTCAGTGGTATTTCTATGCCACTCACGCCACCAAGTGGATGGAACAAGCAGACTAGCTGAACTGTTCTACCATAATGCGTCGTGGTTAGAACAGTTTAGTGAATCATCCGTGAAATTCTCCCCTCTCACAATAAAAAAAATTTGTGTGTCTTTAAGGGCTTTTGGTGGGAGGTGGTACAAAGTGGTGTTTATCCCCAAACTGGACAAATGTTAGGAATGCATTTTTTAAGAGAAACATACACATGGGGGATATTTTTGTTTTTCATTTTTATAACTTTAAAATCCTTTTTGGCCCAGTTTTCAAAAAATCAAGAAGTAAGCAATAATGGATGGATTTACAAAATGCCCAAGTAGGTTTTTCATTTGTAAAAACTTGATTCAGAAGCCTGTTGATTGGGTCTGCAAATAGAGCTCTCTTAAAAACAGTAACATCTCAACAAATTATTTAATCTAACTACCTATCTCATTAACTCCCATAGTTCAGCAAGAAGAGGCTTATTCTGATCAAAGAAAAAAAATTGTCAGTTTTATATTATAACTTTCAAATTCAAAGTTCTTATTAAAATAAAAATGCCTGCCTTTTAGCAAGGTTGGCCCAGCTCTTTCCTAGACCAATGCCTTTTATGTTTTTGATGTAGAAACTATTCATTGATAAGAAGGAACATATTGAAAAAATTCATTTTAAAACACTGAACATATAAAATTAATTGTTGCAGTTGGTGATAAATATTGAAAAGGACATTCCCCCAAATTTCTTAAACTTCATATTCTTAAGAAGTATCAAAATCTCTCTAGAAAACTGGAGAACAAGTGATATTAAATACCCCTCATTACCTAGAAAAAATTCCATTAAGTATAAAAATGCTTTGGTGGTCAGAAGAAATTGTCCAGTAACTTGGAACTTCCTAACTGGTGAGCCAAGACACACAGGAGTGCTACAGATGAGCCAAAGCCTGCCAGCGTTTGGGATGGTCAGAGCACCTCCCACCAGGGCTGGTCAGCCTCTCCCATTAATCCCATTTTCTTTGTTTCCCACAAGGTAAAAAAAAAAAAAAAATGGGGGAGGCTCTGCATCAATGAATGCTTTATGTGATACTCAGATACTTCTTCAGGCAGTGATCTTTTACTGTCAAAGGAAAGGCTTTTTTCCTTTGGTGGCCCACACCCATGCTCAAATGTAGAGCTGGCTATTTCTAAGGAAGTGGAAACACAGCATGCAGCTTCTCCAGGGTTCCTTTTCAGCCTCTCTAGGTTTCAGAGACCCACATCAAAAACCTGTCAGGAGGCCTCAGCCATCACCTGAAATGAAGAGAGGAAGGGGTTCTGGATGGTGCTTGAACCCACTGAGAAGCCAGGAAAGGAAAGGATGTTTTTCTGACTATATTTAATGATGTTCATCATTGTTATTGTGGTGCAGGGGAATTGAGCCTAATAAACCTAACGGCTAATTGAGCCTAGAAGATAAACAATTCTTAGAAATGACTGCAGTTGAGGGTACTTTTATCTAAAGTATTGCGGGAAGGGGCGGAGTAGGGGAGGGAAGAGAGTGAATAGCTGGAGACCGATGGGAAGAGAGAAACTAGGCAGACTAGGAAAGGGGAATCCCTTGGGGCTCCTCTGAAGAGATTTAGGTTCATAACCCAGAGGGAACTTATACCTTGTAGAAGTGAGTCATGGACAAAGTGTTCATCACAGTAAAGGGGAAGCTAAAATGTTCAGATGAGAACCTGGACCCAACAGGCAGGAGATACGTGCATGGGCATAGTATAATCAATGAGGCAGCACAGAGGAGGTGAGGGGAAACTATGGACCCGTGCACGAACTCTCTCCTCGAAAGAATAAATAGATCCTACTGTGGGTGGGTTGACTTTATGACCAGATCCATTTTTGAAGGCAGCATTGTGAAGACCCATCCCCTGGGAATTAGAATGTTCCCCGATAGCCTGACAGGCGCTTGGATGCTCACACTGGAGAGGAACAGATTCTGGTTGTCCCTACCCTTCCTTCGTGTCTGCAGAGAACAACATTTGATAAATGTTATTAATAAATGCTCAGCAAGCCACCTCCACACAGCCTTGAGGCTCACCCATCACCCCACGCACTCACTCACTCGCTCACTCACTCACTCACTCACTCTGTTCCGACCCTTTCCAGGTCAGTTACGCCTCCTCTAGCAGACTCCTGAGCAATAAGAATCAGTTCAAGTCCTTTCTCCGTACCATCCCCAACGACGAGCACCAGGCCACCGCCATGGCAGACATTATCGAGCATTTCCGCTGGAACTGGGTGGGCACAATTGCAGCCGATGACGACTACGGCCGGCCGGGGATTGAGAAATTCCGAGAGGAAGCTGAGGAGAGGGACATCTGCATAGACTTCAGTGAGCTCATCTCCCAGTACTCTGATGAGGAAGAGATCCAGCAGGTGGTAGAGGTGATCCAGAATTCCACGGCCAAAGTCATCGTCGTTTTCTCCAGCGGCCCAGACCTTGAACCCCTCATCAAGGAGATCGTCCGGCGCAATATCACCGGCAGAATCTGGCTGGCCAGCGAGGCCTGGGCCAGCTCCTCCCTGATCGCCATGCCGGAGTACTTCCACGTGGTGGGAGGCACCATCGGATTCGCTCTGAAGGCCGGACAGATCCCAGGTTTCCGGGAATTCTTGCAGAAAGTCCATCCCAGGAAGTCTGTCCACAATGGTTTTGCCAAGGAGTTTTGGGAAGAAACCTTTAACTGCCACCTCCAAGAAGGTGCTAAAGGACCTTTACCCATGGACACCTTCCTGAGAGGCCAAGAAGAAGAAGGCGGCAGAATGAGCAACGGCTCCACTACCTTCCGACCCCTCTGTACAGGGAACGAGAACCTCAGCAGCGTTGAGACGCCTTACATGGACTATACACACTTACGGATTTCCTACAACGTCTACTTGGCCGTCTACTCCATTGCTCATGCCCTGCAAGATATATACACCTGCTTACCTGGGAGAGGGCTCTTCACCAACGGCTCCTGTGCCGACATCAAGAAGGTTGAGGCTTGGCAGGTACATCCTTCTCTTAGATAGCGGTTCTCTGTGTCATAAAAGCAGAGCTGAGCTGATCCAGGCAAGACCGATAGAATGGTTATTGCAAAGACAAGATCTAAATAAGGTCACTAAATGTAGCTTTGGATTCAAGTTGTCTTTTCAAATGTCTGAGCAACTGACTTCTGAACAATTGGTAGTAATTTAATTTGATTATCTGTTTCAAGCCTTGGCTCATCTGTCCTTTAGCCTTGGTTCAACTGTCTTTTAGCCTAGAGACTCAGAATATCTAGAGCAAGGGTGGGGAACATCCAGCCTGCAGGCCGCATTTGGCCCATGAAGTCATTTGGTCTGGCCCTGCCAAGGCAACCACAGGCAGAACTCGAAGTTCAATAAATCTAGGAGCTTTTTCCATAGCTAATTTTTAAGTTGATAATTTTGTATGGCCTGTGAAGGATGTTATAAATATCCAAATGACCCTTGGCAGAAAAAAGGTTCCCCACCCCTAATCTAGAGTATGGCCCTAAAAGTTTTTTAATATCCTGGGACAGATTTGGTACTGAGTGGAGGATGTTTTTCTGATGCTTTAAGTTAAAGACACTGTTCCCTGTGAGTAACAAGTATCTGTTGAGTATGTATTATGTTCCATATGCTAACAGACATAAAACTAGTGCTACTGTGTTTAGTCACCACTTCG